GGTTTTAAAGGGGCATTATTTACATAACTTTACAGCATGATCCAGCACACTTGTAAAAGATAATTAAACAAACCAGTGTTTACATAAACACCCTATTAGTAATTAGAGAACCTCAACAATCAACATGATAACCTTGTCATATTCAGCATACTCTACAACATAGTCTACGTAATGGTCTATCATTTTTCCCTACCCGCAATTATACTTGTGCACCCTACCATGATACAATAACGTACTGAAACGAAAAAATTATGATGGGTCCATACCCAGGCCTGCATATATTCATTATTCATGTAGTCCTGCAGGATCCACAATAAGCTAAAGTCAATGTAAGTGACGATTAGATTCATTGTGCTGACTAACACATTGGTTCAGTAAATGCATCAGCTAACTTTATGTTGCTCGCTCAGCTAAGTTATGAAACATGTGTTAGAGAATTTCTACCGTTCTGATATGGTATAATAGGTTGGCAGTGTCTGTGAGCTGTAGAGTTAACTTGTTTTTAGAACCCTCATCAGGAGTTAAGTAACGTGGTAGACAAAGAAACAGCTCTAAGTTATATACAAAACACGTGCAATATTATATCTGACTCCTTCATAAATATATCTCGGTTATAACTGCACGAATTTCGCAACTTTGTCCACTTATAAGTGATGTTGTTTGCGATACTTAGATGTTGTGATACTACGGACCAGATTGTTTTTTAATCACAGCGATATAATACAATAAGTTAAACGTTAGGTTTTAAAACAGTATCTATAACATTTTTAAACGTTATAATATAAGGTGGTGGTAGACTGATCAAGTTCCCAGCTCTCTCCAGTTTTGTAGAATTTCCGATCTCTTTGTTTTTATTTGTTTATTCTAATCTCATTGTTTTCTATTCAGAACTCTCTACAATCTACATTCATGGATCGAGTTCGTGGTGTTATTTCTAATTGTCATATATTGATGACGGCACCCATCCAGAAGAGACGTGAATTTGTTTTAAAAGCTGTTACCAATCACACTAAAATATGAATCTATCTTTAGCTTAAATTGCTTTTAAGTCAAAGATGAATATAGCCATCGCAGTTTGCACCTCCCTTGCTCTTATTTGAAACAACTCACGTCATCTCTCGATACGGTCAGCGTCATTAAAGCTATTGATCAGAACACATCTGTTATTGTTACCTTTCTTTGTAGAGTTGTAACCTTACAGCGGGGAAGGGCCCCTGAACAGCTGAATGAGCCTGTGAGAATAAGGATACCTAATATCGGACACGCTACTGGAGGGGAGGAGGATGTTTACTAGTTATCACCCCGTATAGAGTATCCGGGGGTTAGTGTTTAATGTCCGGTGTTATGATACGGGCAAGTAGAGTCATAACATGTGTTAGCATGTGTTAACTGGGTGAACTGGCGACCAATATTCGGTGATATTCTGTAATTCCGTTATTTGTTCACGGTCTTTGTTTTTCCTCTTCCTTTTGTTAGCTGTACTTAGTTCGTCGGGCTATTCTTCATAAATTTGTATGTTAGATCAGGAAATTGTGTTTTTTCTCCCTCGACGTCCTAAAGAGCTATATAAATAGTTATACTTATTATCGCATAGATTAAACTTATATCGAAGTTTGCGGCTTGTGACATGCCCCTCCCACTTATTAATTACATTTATATTTTTGTATTATGTCAAACCTCAAAACTTATGATAGTCTTTAATTAAACCAACATTTCCAATGATTATGTCATTATTTTATTAATTTCAATATATTTTGTAAGGATCCCGTTTTTTCTCTTATAAGTTCTAGAATAATCAAGTCAGGAGATAACTTAGTGTTATCATTATAGAATCAACGTTTATTTTCAATTTTAAAGTTGTTTTCAAATAAAAAGTTCCGCGAAAAAAAAACGCAGTATCTTTCCGTATTACACAAAAACAAATCCAATCTGCGAATGACCATAATATGCCAAGAACTGTCTTTGCAATTAATTATCTTACCAGTTGCTAATGAAACAAAGCCACTTTGTGGCGGGTATTGTACCGCTCAAAGTTACGTTTAATAAAACTTGTTGAGGTGTGAATCTTACTTAAATCAACGTGTGAAACACGCTTTTTTAGTTCGCGACTATATTGTTATTTTGGTATTTTTGTGAACAAATGTTGCCAAAAAGCATTTATTTTTAATAAGATTTTTTAATAATCTATTTTTTAATAAGATGTTGCACAGCTCCTAAGCTGTTTACAATCATGTTTTCAGCTGTATCAAGACTTTGGCCAAGTCGTCACATATCACGGTTTTATGATTATGAACTCGGAAATATCGATGACCTTGTCATTGGCGCACTTTAAGAGCTTTCGGCTCTAGTTTGCGAATGACAAGGTAACAGAATGTTCATAGTTGCAAAGCCTTTTGATCTCGCAATTTGAGAACTCTTCTTTTGCCGATTAAAAAGGAAACGTTGTATCTCTAAAACAAATTAAACAGCCACAAAGAGAGTTTCTTGAGCTAATATCGCATCTGGCTTAAATTTCAAAGCTAATTAACTTTTAATTTTCAATATTTATACTTTTAATTTTTGATATTGAATCGAGGATGACCGATGACACTATTTTGAGACTTTTTAGTACATAGATCATAATACAGTGTTAGTGCAACCAGGGGAGACTATATCTTTGGTGATATGTTAAGATGGCACTAAGATCATTTTAGTTGTGGCGTTTGCGGTTCCATTTGTACCACTAAATAAAATAAACAGATTCAACGAAGCTATGTGGTCATCGTCTTAATGGTATACTTGAAACAAAGAAGTGATTCATTGGAGCCACGGCTATCGCTGAATAGCGCCACATAGTTCAATAGATGATGATAAAATGAATAAATGACATAGCCACTGGGTGGAGTCACTGTCAATAGCATTGTACTATTGTGGAGTCATCTAAAATTCGATTGCGCAGATAGTGATACCGCGCGGAATTTGTTGCACCATCGAAAACTGCTCAAACCTCATATGACCCTTATTTCCGTCCTCGGGACCCTCGTTGCTAACCCTGCCGCCGCCCCTTTTCCACTGATTGGCTCACTGCCAACATATCTCCACTTGATTGGCTGATGCATCGTCTGTTAGATCTCATTCATTCGCCGGACGGCTGCGGGTAATCTCTGTAACCATCTAAATTAGAGCTTTACCCAGGTGTTCTTTGGTTTAGGACTCAACAGGTGGGTGGAAGCTGGCCATTCATTGGCTGGTTACTATCACAACCAACCAACCAGATAGCTGGTTTCTATGGGAACTTCATGATGATTGGTTGGTTGAATTTTCACAAGGTTCACGTAAAATAGACTGTGTGTTTTAATTCGCTGGGTTTACAAGTAGAGTTTAACTTTTAGTGTAGAGGTTTTATACAAGTTGCGACATTGCCATTCAGCTGACACCCAATTAGAGTTTTTACATCAGTTTTCTCCCTGTCTTGATTAGTCCGTCAAATGAGCGAGGCATCAAGTTTTCTCGTCTCAAGTCTCATTTAACTAACACATTCAGCTCAAATTATTCCATTTCCACGTATATATGCATACTGTCAGCCTATATAATTATTTGATATCATCAAACAGTTATCATAATGTTTTTACACGGTGTCCCTCGTCCACATTGAATTTATAACCTTTCTTTGATGATGAAGTGTTAAAAGCTCCGCTTCAAATTTTATTGTGTTTGAATTTACATACTCCATTTTAAGCATTTCAATGATATTTATTCAACTTCAAGCTGTTCCTCATACAGATACGGTTCAAAATTATTATGCGGTTCAACATTATGTTTTACAGCGAATGGAATTGTTAGGCATAGACATGAAACCGACATTAACAACGCGTGTCCTTCGTTTGGCTCTTTCTTAGTCAGTTTAAATCGTACTAACATCTTCTTGTTTTCCCCCTCTATTCATGTTTCGAATCATTCGACTCCTTTGAGTTATGTGTCAGTACTGAGCAGCAATATCATTAAAAGAAGATGATTGAAGTTTACTAGCTATTAATAGTTCTGACATCATTGGAGATCATTACGATAGGTTTATTATGTAATTGTAAGTGCTATCTTACATTGGGCTTTCAACCATTTTATCAAACTCACATTATGATTTTAAGTTAGACTAGTATAAAGATGAATGATTTAGGTGGGCCCCAGAATTATACTGCATACAATTACAAGGTCTCTCAATGAACCTGATTAAGCGGTCTGAAATCTTCCATCAAGAAAACCGTTTATATTGGAGCCGTTCCCATCTTAACCGGAATCAGTTTTGGGTCATTTTATACCCCTTTAATTTTACTCACTGTGAAGAAACAAAATTATCATGTTAATTTCGGACCCTCTCTCTCTCTCCTCCCTCCTGTGTGGTAGCTGACCGCGCCCTATTGGGGGTTCAGCTGTATTCCAAGCGTTTAGAATATTCTGATCACTAATTACAGCTACTAATCATGTATAATTTAGGTTACTAGTAAATCCTTAAGTCTCATTAATATCAAGAATTTGGTAATGAGCTTTCATTCTTCAAACAATTGTTTTAGTTTACTAAACGTCATTAATTTGGAGATCTAGAGTTTGCGAGACATACACTATAAGACCGGTGCCTCGTACCAAATTTCAATTGAATATAAGTCCTCGACAGAGATATTTCTGTGAGCAGATTGAGAAAATATCTTTGCAGAGGGTCACCCGGTATTTGGGTTTCTACTCCATGACTATCTTTCGTAACCGCTCGCCATTAATTTGCATTATCCAGATCACATAATTACTTGTAAATTATGAATCTTACTTCTTCCAGACAATATATACAAAGATGGCTAATTATTAGAAGTGTATCTGATCTAAAGATCGCTTCATTTGTTTCTTCTGATCCTCTATCTCTTCTATTGATTTTTCAGCCGATGTGATTGATATTTGAAAATTATCTGGCGGCTATCGAGATTTGCCTTTCAGATCTGAAAGTAGAACAATAAATTAAGCAGTGCCAATTTTCCAGTGAAAATGACTTGTAGTTGACAATGGAGAAGCAAAGACTTAAAGATGTGAACCCACCCTGATATGGAATCCCTCTTCTTTTTATTGAGTAAGTATCTGATAGGAATGCCCCATTCCTGTGATTCCTCTGAGATATTCTTTACAAACTTATATCTAAGGGCCCCCAATCCGATAATCTAAATTATAAATTTCAATGCTTGAAACTTACTTATTCTGTGATTTTTATCGTAACTATGACCTGAAATAAAAGCATAGAACCTTGATAATCGTGGTGAACTATAAAATTTTAAAAAATCTTAAAAAATTAATAATTTCTCATTTTCAGTGTGTTTTATGTGTGTGCTTGCTACAAATCCAGATTTTAAAAAAGGTTAGTCAACTAAACTATTACTTCTTTTAGCGTTTAGCATTTCTTTTACCGCCAAATTTTGTAAATACAAAGCCTCAGATTAAATGGATTTAATCTCACAGAATATTTCCCAACTTTAATTTGAAACAATAGTTTTACATTCATTTTATTCTCGAATCTTAAATATAAACATTTATCATCCAAATTATTAGCTTTATTAAACAATACAAACAAGGTTACATGGGGTTTTTAGTCTCACCTACTATAAGTATAGTTATAATACACGTACTACCTTATTGAACCTTATTTGGGCAGACATGATGTGGACGCTGAGTCCTCAAGCGCTCACGTAATGCCCGACCAAATAAATTCCGGTAAGGTAACGCATAGTACACAATATAACCAATCAGAGCACAATTCCCACAACACGTGACTCAAACTAACCAATCAGAGCACATTATCCACAACACGCGACACACACTAACCAATCATAGCACAATATCCACAACACGCGACCACACTAACCAATCAGAGCACAATATCCACAACACGCGACACACACTAACCAATCACAGCACAATATCCACAGCACGTGACACACACTAACACACACAATCACCTCAGCGAAGACCTGCTATGTTTCGGTTGGGTATAACATAGACTACTTGGGTAGTGAGAACATGACGGAGACAGGAGCAGGATGTCTCAACTGGCAGGACACTTCCTGGGCCTCCAGAGACTGTAAGTTTTACTTTTGTTTCACTTACTCCTGTTTCGACTTGGGTGAAAACTACGAGGAAATTTGTTTGCTCAGAATTGCTGTATTAGTATACTGTTATTAAATATCATGTAATATCTAACTTAAACAGTTAAACAAAGATTGACAAACCTTACCGTTATACATAAATTACATGTGTTCCATGACCCATGCGGATAGTGAACTAAACTGACAACGGAAACTTTATTGTGGCCCACCGCGTACCCACAAACTAAGGAACGCGTATATACGCTTTGTTTGTTATTACTTGAATTAATTAATTAATCTCTACTAATAACTGCGTATCTTGTCCACTCAAGTTAATCCCACATCAATAACCAGTTGACGGTACGATGGAGAACAACTTCTGTCGGAACCCCGACAAGGACATGAAAGGGCCTTGGTGTATAACGAGAAATGGCAGGAGACGATACTGCAACATTCCCAAATGTGGTAAGTTTAAAAAAATTAGAATACCAACCATTACGTGAGAAAATGTTTTGAGATTCCATTACATTGTCAATCCATATAAATTATAATATCACCTCATAAAGACCTAATTTTATCTCTTCAATTTCATGTGAACCTAAATTTGATTGTTCTAAAAGTTCCCTTTCAGCCTCATCAGCGATGTTTGATGGTACGGGAAACATAGAACACGATCTGTATAGTTTAAATAGTACCATGTCAGAAAATATATCCTTCGCTTTTTACACGAATCAGTAAGTAATATTTGTATACTTGTTTGCCATATTTATAATATCATCGACCTAAGCTGCACTATTAAATTCGAAAATAGAACCATCCACCTTCTGTGATGACAAAAAAAGTTAAAAGCTAAATGAATATTACTGGGGTTTAAAATCATTCTCTGTAGCCCCGATCATGATCATGATATTAGTTATAACTCGATTATGATTTTATCATGATTGCGGAATTATAACATAAATATAACATGACTGATTTTAGGCGGGGTCAGAATGACGCCACCCTCCTGACTGTAAACACTTGGAAGAGTGGCCAGCTGCTCGACATTAAGATCCAATCTGAGAAAGGTGTCAACGACGTCATAAAACTACAGGTTGGGATATTTAAGAGGTTCTTTTGCGATAGTCAAAACGCGACAACTAGCGCTGGATGGCGACAACTAGCGCTATCCAGCGCTAGTTGTCGCCATCCAGCGCTAGTTGTCGCTATCCAGCGCTGGATAACGCTGGCCAGCGCAAAATATATTTGTTCGATAATTGTCGCTATCCAGCGCTAGTTGTCGCCATCCAGCGCTAGTTGTCGCCATCCAGCGCTAGTTGTCGCGTTTTGACTATCGCAAAAGAACCATTTAAGATGTTCCCGAATTTTCGATCTTACGAAACGTCTGACTACATTTTTAAAGGTTTGCTGTGAATATAATGCATAATGTTGCTTTTAAATGTACCCCCTTATCTAACCCTTGTCTCTGTTCTCAGTGGAGATTCAGCCGAAACAATCCACAAGTTCTGGTAACATCTCGCCCAGATATGGCAGCCACTGGAGATATTGTCAGAGTACAAGTCATCAGGTAAACATTCTATACTCTCTTATTTTATCTTCTTATCTTGTTGAGTTGATAAGTTGATATATCAGGTGGTGGTTAAACTGAAGGTAGACTTGATTCAGCAACAGACATGATGCACATTTGTAACTCTTTTATTACAAATTATGCTTTAATGAAACAAATCTGTAAACAAATACCTGTTGCAATAACAATACCATTACGTTTGTTTCGTTACAGAGAAGGAAGAAATTTAACGATGAGAGTAAACGGAGAAGATTATTCAACAGTAATCAGAGAATCCGTAACATCAGACGGAATATTTGCAGCTCCAGGTGTGCAATTGTTTTATTATTTATACACCACGTTTTGGGGAAAGCAGCTGGACACCTAGTGGCTTAATCATATACAATACTGTAAAGTAATGAGTTTAATGAAAATATTGTGTGTGACTGACACGACTTGCTAATCACATCATCTCCTTAGAGAACATCTACATTGGAAAGTCTCCGTACGGAACAAATGGCTTCAGAGGGTGCATCTCAGACTTCAACTACAACGATGTCAGAACACTTGACATGGCCATGGGTATGTTTAATGCTGATCTGATATTGTAATTGTCATCATGTCCTCATGCGATCATCATTGTTTTTTTCCCCTCCATTTATCAATTTCTCAACAACTTCCTTCTTGAACCCCCTTTTTTTGAACCCTGTCTAATCTCTGTAACGCTGCTCCAACTCAGGTTCTCGCCCTAAGCCAAAAGACGAGCGTATAGCGATCAGTAGAGGTGTTTGGGAGGGGTGTTTGCTGATACCCCCCTCTGACTGGGCTCCCCCACCACTTCTACCCACTGAGATTCCTAATGTGGTGGACGTTAACGAAATTACCGTTACCGTCAACGCTCGCCTCAATGTAAGCACACAGCCACACAATCATTTAAGTTTGACCGTGCAAGATTTAAATCTGCCGTTCAAAATTTAAACGTTCATTTATACCTCTTGTTAGTATTACTCCAGATCACAACGATCAATTTCTGAAGAAACACAGTAATTAATCAAGTAAACGTCTATCAATTAGTTGTTATTTAACCAACTAACAACTCACATCCTTTCAGGGCAACAACACGCAAAACAGTGGAACTACCACCAGCTCCTCTCTCCTCGTCCTGATAATCACAATGTTTATATCTCTGCAGTATGGTTAGCACGCCTCCTCTCCACTTTCTCTTTCTCACCTTACTCTGCACCCGGAGTATTTTAAACTATCAAACAATTAGCAAACAATTGCACAATTAGGAAACTAATTGCACAATTAGCAACTGATTGCACAATTAGCAACTAATTGCACTAGTTGTGTGATCATTGGCCGTGGCCAGTTTTAGTTGATGACGCGCGTTTGACTGAGGAGCTATATTGAGATGTCGTGTGCGGCTAGGTGAACCAGCCTGGCAGTCTGCCATGCCAGCAGCCTGGCAGCTTGGCAGCCAGCTTAGGAATAGATGCTCATATCCTGGTCATCTTATTTACAAATGAGATGAATTCTACTAAAATAGATTTACGTATTTTTACTTTTTCGGTGGAACCAAATGGCAGGTTCACAATGGAAATGCAAGGAGCAATTCATTTACTAGCATCAGAACATCCATTATACGTCCGTGGGACTGATTTAAACTGTTCTAGATGCTTGCAGAACAACGAGAAAATGATATTAGAATTAGGGTCTGTTAACATTACTTAGGAAAACATCATACTTATCGATTAATCAGATGTTTTTAAAACCTTAGAGAAACAACAATGTATCCAAGTTTTTAATGTAGTGTTTTATTTTCTAAAAAGAAGCAAGAATTAAGCGGACCTCATGAATTTCTAACTTTACTTTTGTTTTTATATCTTTTGACGAATGAATATGCTAATATCAATAATAAGGCTATAATTGTAGCTCTGTAATAGCCATTTAATTTAGATAATGTCGTAAACTTCTTATTTGATAAATATTTGAGTTATTACAATAACGGTAAAATTAGCCCAGTCAGGGCTCAGTTGATGCATTGTTGAATTAATGGTTCTGTCGTCAGGGAGTTAAAACACACGTGGTTTGCCACGTTATTACACACGTTGTTTGCCACGTGTCAGTGCACTTCCAGTATTTTGATTGGTCAAATTTAATGGAGTTGCTTGTTTTGAACTCCTGCCCGATGCCCCAGTTACAGGACCTATCTGTCCATTTTCCAGTTATTTGTTAGATTTTGATTTGAAAGCACGGTCATAACGTTCTTTAACTGTTTCTTTTTTTTGGTAGACTATATCCAAGATCACCCTGTCTCTAGTTTTTCATGATTTTTATTTGTTATTTAATTTGTAATCGTTTGCCTCATTGTTCTAATATTTTTACGTGATAAAATTATGCGATATACAGCTCAAAGTGACAAAAATGTTGAGTATATCACATCAAAATTGTATTCGAATTTTTTGGGCCGGGTGGTGTAGTGGTATTTCACTCGCCTCCCAAGCGGAAGACCGGGGTTCAAACCCCGTCTGAGGCAGGCAGGCCAGGTCACCAAGCTGTGATTGGTACAGGATTTATCCTGGTAATTATGCTCGGAGGATATCAGTGACGCGATTCCCACTACAGTGTAAGCTGCAGTGTAGCTGTAATAGTCTACCGCCATTCGGAATGAGTGTGAACTTGCTTACCAGGCAATCATGATTTCCGCTTGGTACTCATCAGGTCTCTAAGAAAGCCAACAGTGTGCTGATATGCACTGTCATATGTACTTCCTAGAAGCAGCACACGGCCCATTTCGGACTTGCACGAGTTATAATTATTCGAATTAGACTTAAAATCTATCAAATATAAGTATACCTAATTATCAGATCTGCTCCATAAGTCAAAATTTAATAGCATAATTAAGTAAGTAAAAGATACAAGTTTTAAAAATCCGAATTTTAACCAAGTTTTTCAAAACGTGAGGAGAGTCCGTAACTCATTACTCAAAGTCAATATGGTGTTCTTGATACTTTAACATGTCAACAGCATCTAGGTTCCGACTATAAATCATGGCCAATGAAAGATTTCGGTAGAGATTATTTTAAGGATGTCAGAGAAGTTTCTAGATTCGTTGCAGCTGTTAGTAACAATTAACTAAATAATCAGTTAGTAACATTTCTACGTGGTCATCACAAGAACCGAGCTTCGTCTACTTTTAGGGGTGATAGCGCCTGATTTCAGAGCATCATTTTCTTTGCCACTGTTGACGTTCTCTGAGTGGGAAAATAGGATTAGCAGAATTAATGACGGTTAATGACGAGTTAATGACGATTAAAATGATTAGTAAAGTAGATTTACAGAGCCCAAAATCAGATTCCTTAGATCCATGGACTATCAGACTACTCACGGAGGAATCCCTTTAAGTTGCCGCTAGAGGAGCTGCTTTGTTGTTGGGCAGATGAACTGGAAGCTCCTCCGCCTCCTCCAGTTCCTCCGCCTCCTCCTCTTGCTGGGAATAAAGTATGTTAACAAGCTCATTATTTGACTGACCCATATAAGTGGAATGGTCACCATGAGTGAACATAGGGTTATTTTACGCGTTACCACTAAGTTACCACTGTTAGAGTTACCACTGTTAGAGTTACCACTGTTAGAGTTACCACTGTTAGAGTTACCACTGTTAGAGTTACCACTGTTAGAGTTACCACTGTTACAGTTACCACTGTTACAGTTACCACTGTTACAGTTACCACTGTTACAGTTACCACTGTTACAGTTACCACTGTTACAGTTACCACTGTTACAGTTACCACTGTTACAGTTACCACTGTTACAGTTACCACTGTTACAGTTACCACTGTTACAGTTACCACTGTTACAGTTACCACTGTTACAGTTACCACTGTTACAGTTACCACTGTTACAGTTACCACTGTTACAGTTACCACTGTTACAGTTACCACTGTTACAGTTACCACTGTTACAGTTACCACTGTTACAGTTACCACTGTTACAGTTACCACTGTATCACTGTTACAGTTATCTTTTACCTGATTCAGTTGTGGCCACCTCTGTTACTGTTATCTCCTCAATGTTGTTAGTACTAACTCTCCGCTTACTTGAACTAGGTAGTTCGCTCAATCTACGGAGAATTTGTGAGATTCAAAAAGAGGTCGAATGAACAATGGATTTCTGTAGCATGATTTTAAAAAACAAACAGATATGAGTGAAATTAAAACAAAGTTATTAAAGATTATTACTGTCGTAAAACTTTCTCCAATCCTTCTAACTTGTCTCTCAATCTTTGTAGATCACTTTTGTTGTTGTCTCGTTCATTTTTCAAACCTGAGTTAAAATCAATAACATTATTTTACTGTTTATTTTTCTTCCGGTTTAGTGGAAGGCATCGTGTAAGTGAAAATAACGAGGTGACCCCCATAAAATGCCAACCTATCAGTACTGTTACAGTTCTGATACTACATTTGAGGCTCTGCCGAGCAGCTGCAAGCACCTACCATCTATCAAGTCTCGTTGTCTGTCCAATTGTGGTTCTAGTTTGTTTATTTGCTTGTCAAAGTCTTTTATAGCAGTTGAAATATCAGAGTTCATCCTGTCAACTTTTGAGTTTTGTTCCTGTAACGGAGACGGATCGAAATCGAACGTGAGAGCTTCGTTCAGAAATATAACTATAAATAGAAATCGCTGATAGTTCTCAAAATCAGTGATCCTGCGGTTATACTGTTATAATATGTAGTATTAAGTTTACGGTTAATCGGGTTTTTTTCTTCTTTTTCTATTCGGTAAAATGTAAGAATTTTGACAAACCTGAATAGACCTCGCCAGACTATCGAGTCTATCTGTTAGCTTATCCGTTCGTCTGTCAGAGTCGGATTTATTTTGCTCTAACTTCTTCAGTGCGTTCTCAATATCCTGCAGCTTTTGAAGGAACCTACAAATAATTGATTTGGGTCAATTGATCTATATTAATACGATATTCGTACCTGGCAGATAACTTTGATCTCTTGGCATGATCAAGCTTGGCTCGTTTATCGTGTTTGAACGCAAACGATCAATAAAACCACCAATACTCCAATAGATAAGAAACTGATAAGAAGGAGAGCTAACTGATTTCTAGCAGTGGTCTCCTCATCACAGTGCTGACGAAGAGTATCTTCTGCTTCACTCAGCCTCTCACGTTGCACGTCTACCTGGTGGAGAAGAGTAGGGAGTGGGATATCTTATCAGCAATAATAAATAATTTGAACAGTTAGCATCTAAGCATTCTTTTCTTTTATTCATATATGATATTTTACCAAAACCCATATTCATGGGTAGAGTGGACCGCTGCCAGTGTCTCTCTTTCCCAAACAAAAGGAAATGATATTAATTTGATTGACCGTTCTCAAATGCAAAATGATACCGAGAATGAAATCGGTCGCTCGCTTTTTCCACTGGCAGCGGTCCACTCTACCCATGAATATGGGTTTTGGTAAAATATCATCTCTTTTTGATTATAATGTCAGGGTACTTTATAAAGTCGAAATATAAACTGATATCTTCATTAATTAATAAGGAGGAAGTTTCAACGATTTCGAAATTTTCCTTTAAAAACATTTCCTTGTGTTTAGGTAAGCATATCGGTCGATCACTGACTGAATATGCCACCTAATACTCATTCAAGTTGGCATTAAATTCATATATAATGACATTAAACTGTCGTGGCAAAGCAGAATTTGTTGGAAATCACGAATGAGCAAAATTCTCACCTTTCGCACGTGCAAACTTTGAGCGGACGTTGCGTGCGCATCCAATATTGAATCGCCGTAAATTTTTTCATGTAATTGTTTTATATATAGCTTGATAAGCATGCAAAGTTTCAAAGTATTTCAAGAAGAACTGTAATCACAACGGCACTCTAAAGTTGACAGAAAATGACGAAAACAGCAATTTTCAGTGATTTTAGCAATTTTCTATCAATTTGGGCGTGTCCCCACGTGTGCAACTTTTCGATTTTCAACTTCAAAACTAGCCTAATGCACAATTTATACCTATAGGAAGCAGAACTGAGCTCCTCAACTCAAGGCATGGCCCAACACCAGAGAATACTAAATCGCAAAATTGACGTTTTTATAAAATAATTCTTCAAAAAAGCACAAACTTCAATCACGAATATCTTTATGAAGGAGCAAGCTAGAAAAACTTTCCGGTAGATTTTCAGAATGCTTGAACAATTATCTAAGATAAAAATCTCCTCAGATTTTGAATAAAATTACTCCTTAATGGTTTAAAATTAATTTTAAAAGTTATTACTTTGTCAAAAATCAAGTTTTAAAAACGGTTAACTTGATGACGTCATCAAGGGGTGTTTATGACGTCAAATAATTTTTTTATACAATGTAAACTAAAGTGTAAACAATTATTTGCAAGACCTGTGGTCGGAAATGGCTTTATCTTTTATACTTTTGAATCTATGGACAATTAAATACAGGCTACAATTGACTGGCAAAGCGTCTATCCCTGAATATGTATGTATATATATATATATATATATATCACGACAATCTGTCGTAAAACAGGGGTTCTAGAAAACCCATTTCCCGATACTCCTGAAACCTGAAACTTTTTTTGCAGTCGATTTGATCAACGTCTAGACGCCCTGAAAAATTTCAGATCTCTAACTCAATTTTAACATGGTTTTTAAGGCACCTGAATATGGCGATTTTGGGTTTTTTACCGAATTTCGTATAACAGTGCTGGCGAGTATTTTATGCAAATTTCTTAAAAATCTCAACATAACTATTTTTTATTCCTGTCATCTTTGACATCAAATTAGAATGTTTTGAACTAAAAATAATTCTGCTTAACGACTTCCGATGAGTCTTAATGCCTGGAAAACTCCTGCCGGAGGCGGCGGCCTTCGGCCGCCGCCTCCGGCCGGAGTGCACGCTTCGCGTGCACAAAAGAGGCTTGTAACGTGTACCAAAGGGGGTATAATAGTAAAGGGGGTATAATAGTAAAGGGGGTATAATAGTAAATGGGGAACATAGTATACCCACAATAAATGCAACGGTCGTGCTTGCCAGCACTGTGATCATCGATTAGATATTTTCATTTTGCGGTTTCTGTTTCATTATTTCTGATAACAGGTTCCAAGCAACCCCTAAGTCCCAGATAAGAATAAAAAACGCTGTGGTACGGCAGATTCTATGGAAAAATTCATTGTAAAATTGTTACTCTAAATAATTGGAACTTTGGATACTGAATGATGGTGTACTTACGATGTTATCGAGGTTATTCATGGTTGCCATTTTCATTGTGATGTTCTGCAGCTCCTGCTTTATGAACTCATGGACTTCGCTTATATCCTTCAACCTTCGGAAAATTGAATTAAACAGTATTCCTTGCAACAATATCTTGGATGTCAATTTGGGGTTTTTCAATTTTCTTTATGTCAAGACAATGGTTCAAGAGATCGATAAATAGAATTTAAATTTAAAATATAAAATAGAACCTCTGAAAGAAGTCTGAATCAATCTTTCCACCATTGGATATAAGATCTTTGAGATTTTTAATGTCGTTGCAGAGACCATTGATGTTGTTTTCGTTGTTTTGTACCTTTGAAAAGTTGTGTCATTACTTAAACATCTAATAGTTATATTATATTAACTAGAGATATAACCACATAACTTTAATCCTTGATATTATTGATGTTCATAATGCTGGTTATTTCTGGGTTGATAATTTTGATTTTAAAATTCGGTCTCATGGTAATCACTGAATGTCCAAATCAAATTATTCACTGTTTCAAGTTTACATCAAGCTGAAGAAGGGTCCACTTACTCGATTGATGATGTTGTTTGAGTTGATGTCTCCCTTGTCACATTTCTCATTTATTTGATTCATCCGGTCGTTGAGCGCCTCTGCAGTGGCCAACAGTTGGTTTTTAATATCTTCAATGCCGTCCATCAGCTTTCCTAGTGGCCTGAGGAAAATTTAATTTACATATTAATTTATCCGGCCATATTATATGTATATTAAATAGTCCATATTATAAATAGACTCAATTATGGCATCACAAAATTCTTTAAAAAAAAACTCACAAAAATATGCGCAATAACTTTTCTCAAATCAAAAACTAACTCGTTGTCAGGATCTTCAAGTTTTTTGACACGTTCCTTGAGGGCAGAAATCTCATCGTCTGGTAGATCCTCTGATATTAACCCTGGGCTGCTGACGATAGAGCTGTTAGTTGGTGGGAGTTACATTTATATACAGTTTCATGACATTCTCTTTGTCATTGTGAAATCATCCATTGACAAATGACAGACTGACAGAGTGGCAGGGATATATATATAATACCGAAAAATCTACAAAACCGAAGAATTATTTAAGATTTGAGCGACACATTAAAACGTGTCTGGTTAACTTACTCCTGCAGGACGTAGAGAGGTGATTTGGGTCTGCAGCAGGGTGTGTGTTGTTGACAAGGAGCTGAAATGGAGCCACTCCTTTAGTAATTCAGATAGCACTAATACCATGTAACACAATGAAATTAGCGGTCACGATCAATGTTTTCTGAGTGATGTGATAATATAATCTTGGGTAGTTTTATCTAGAATTTAAAAGTCAATATCGTAAGAGTTAATAAATAAGTTAATAAGTAAGTAAATAAGTTTACAAAAATTCCATTACCTTGTTGCTGACAACCATGATTCTGTGGACCTACCCATACAGGCTCTGGTTCCTTCTCTTTTGGCATCATACAGTTACAACTGTGTAAAGGGCACTGAAATAAGGAACTTTGGTGAATAGCATATGGGGGAAGGGGGGGGGGGGGGGGGTGAAAATTGTTCAAAAAGTGATTACGTAATATGTGAACGATCCCCCTAAGCCATAAATCACAATGTCTCTAAAACATATAAACTGTACCTTAGATTGTCCACAAGTTGTAGGTTTAGAAGCTGGCGCTGTATCAGTGTTCTGAGTGCAGCCAGTACTGCAGTGGTGTGAACAAGGAGCTACTAACTGGACAGGTGAAGCAACTCGCACATGCTGCACTGGAGAAGCAACTCGCACATGCTGCACTGGAGAAGCAACTCGCACATGCTGCACTGGAGAAGCAACTCGAACATGCTGCACTGGAGATGCTGTCCTAACATGCTGCACTGGAGAGGCAACATGAACCGTTTCTACCGGTGATGCAATTCGAACGTTTTTCTGTGAAGTAGTTTTTTAGATATTGTGACAACCAATAATATACTTATCAACTCATCAAATGAACTAAAAAGGCCTTTACTCTATAGTCTGCCTCAGAATTTATCCTAAATCCTTCAAATCTACAAATTATTTCACCTGAGCCGGCTGAACAAGCAGGACATTGTCCGAACCGTTACAATGACAATGAGCATTACTAGCACATCTGTTACAACCATGCTGTTGGGACTGTTTTGCTATCTCTTTCTGCTGTTTTGCCATGCTCTTCATCATCTCAGCCATGTTCCAGCTTAGTTGCTCTAAGCTCTCCTGGATCTCCTGGGAGAAAGAGAGAGAGCTTGTCAAACTAATTATCCCGGGAGTATGATCGGTGATAGATCCAAGAGCATATCCTGAGGGACCTACCACCTTATATTGTACAAATTACAAAATAGATGATGAGTTTACACGCTCAACAAGATTTCAATCTGAAAAATAAAAAAAGTAATTTCGATGTGGTATAAGTGCTTAGCAGCGAATCAAACAGCACCACGTCCACATATGGAGCTGCAATTAAATGTAGGAACGATATAGCTTTGCAATCGCGCAATAGCACGGTCACTATAATAGAAGACAAACAAATTCCACTGACGTCTTCATCGACAGCAGTCATTCAATAAGAACTTGAATATGCAGCTATACGTTTAAAAACTATATTGTACTTCTCTTACAGCGCGTCTCTCCGACCGGTAACTAAACTCTTCCTCAGCTACTGTCTCAGACGTCTCAAAAGACTCATAACTCTCTTTATTCATCGTATGACGTCCGGAGGACATCACTTCATTCTCCACTTCAGCAAACAACTACAACTCTATATGAAAACAGGCTAATTGTGGAGCTCTAAAGCAAAGTAGTGGTAATTTAAAACTAGAAAAATGCCAATTCGATCACAAAAATACTTTGTGAGGCATACAAATCAACCAAATAGCTGCAAGCCCATTTAGAGGTTACGTGTTTGGCTTACCCAATTCACATTTACTTTCGCGTTGATCGTAGTTCGTTATCTAATATATGATGGACATATTATTAATTATTATCAATACACATTATCTTTAATATGGAGGGGTCAATGTTGTCATATCATTAATTACATCAATCAAAAAATGAATGCAGACGATTAAAAACCATTTGTAATGTTAAAAGCGAACTGAACCAGAATTATAAATGTAAACGGTGTGATCGATTATTTTTATAATCATATTTATATAAACATTATTACGAAAGAATGGCTGCTGGGTAAGGTATGAAAATAAAGTTACAGTGGAGGACGGAGAAAAAATGTTAAAAGAAGGTTTGAGCCGCACACGATGATGCTGATTGTAAGTACCATGGTTGGCAGTTACTTATAATAAATAACCAACATCAACGTTATTAAATAACAGGACTCCAGCCTGTTTAAAGAAACTTACAATTATTTCTTCGATATCGTCTTGTTGTACTACACTCTTTTTAATCTGAAACAATCGGAACATGTACTCGATTATCAATATGGTCAACGATCGATAAGTATTAATATAGTTCATTATGCAATATCTGAATATCGGCTCCTTTTTCTTAAAGCTTTAAAGGTTAGCCAAAAATAATTCTATTGATTTATTTTAAAAGGAAACTTCTTGTACAAAAAAGGACTAACGGCTTCAGGGGCGGGTTCTTTCTTTCCACCGAGAATTTTTTTCCAGTAGGCGTTCATATCCGCCTTGGACATGGCTAAAACCGTGAAAAATCTCTCTCTCTGTCGAGCTATTTATACTATTAGTTTATTCTTTTAAATTCATAGGCTATTAACCTAGTATATAATAGTATAAAATCTATCTACTGAGGACTGAGATTATTATATTAAGTATACCGAAATAATTTAAAGACACGGTGAAATGGCAATCACTCAAAGTTCGGAATGAAATTATCCAAAGCGAGAGAAAGATAGAAGATTGTACAAAACACACTGACAAGCAGAGAATTGTATAGCGTTTCCTGGTTGGTGCAGGGGCCAACACTGTTGTCCTGCTCAGCTCAGCTCACACTCTTACAAACTGTTCAGTGTCCTGAAAAGCATCGCGCATTCCTCTAGGTCCACGTGTCTCGTAAGGTAGTGCAATTCCGCGCATGTTTAGATTTTGTATATGCTGCAAATTTGGAGACAAAAATACCACAATCGGGCTGACCAATTCGCAAAAATGTGCACCCTTTAGGCAATTTCAGGTTGGATTATTCAACAGCGTAGTATAACTTTGCTTTACAAGATTGTTGAGTTTAGCACAACAGATAACTTATTAGCTCGCATTCTCAATATAGTGGTTGTTTCATGTAGAGTTTAATGTTGAGTTATTGTCTAAGATGAGAAGTACAGACTAGTCTCACACGTATACTTTTAATTTTTTAAATTTTTATTGAAAAGTTGCGACTAATTCAAAAGTTGCGACTGATTGAAAATAGATATAGGACTGTTTGAAAATAAAAATACGAGCTAAGTTGACTTTTATTATTATCTTGATTGTTTAGTACCTTGATATTTACCTTTTTAAAAATACGAGTTTTGATTTGTAAATCGGCTAAAAACTTGATGTTCCAAAATATTGTGTCCAATATTTCATAGTACAAAAATTCAATAAACGTATAAAATGTTGGTACCAAAAAGTACGTGGTATTAGTCGTACTTTTAAATTTACGTAATAATATGTACTTTACCCCTTTGAGGTCTATAATTATACACAGCAGCATAAGGTGCACAAATCTGATTGAAAAATATCGGCCGATGGTGCGGAAAATCCCCCCCCCACCACCACTCATACCAGAAAGAAATATTTCAATCGGGCACTAATTTGACTGAGAAATAAGCAACAACGTATGCATATTGCATGTATAGTTGTTCAACTTGAACTCTCAAAACTTTTCACATCTGATACTAATTCATATTTTACAATTCTATTTACATTTTACCTTCAGTAAAAATGTATCCTAAGGGTTAAGGGAAATTTTTGTAAACTTGTTTTGTCAACGAAATACGTTTCATAAATAAATAACATTATCCCTAAAGATAATCTATTTAAACTTTTTACATGATTCAATATCGTACTTTATTATCTTTGAAGGGTCACAACGACACACCTAGAATGCCATGAGCTTTTAACCTAAGATGGTTTAAGTTCGTACGGTACGTACCTTTAAATTAACTGTACGGTACGTACTTAATAAAATAGGCTGAAAGGTTGAATCCAGTTGATAGCAATGGAAACAAAAACTAGACGGTACGTGCGACAGAGAAGGGGTAAAACCCTACACTGATGCGGAATCAGAACCTATGAAGCTTATTAATCCGTCAATATACTGGAAATATTTTGGAGGAGAACTTTTTCTGCTTAAACAGTTGGCCCAAATAGTATTCAGTGTTTTCGTCAATTTGTGAGACCAATTTTAGAGATTACGAATATATTATGGACAAGCGTAGATTAAGGTTGCGACCTGAGCTAGCTGAAAAGCTGGTGTTCGTATACTGCAACAAAAGGATGAAGCTTTGAGTTTAACGATAATTACAAGTAGTAGTAGTGTAGTACCGGTTAAGAGCGATCCGGTACACAAATTTTCCTCTTAAATCTTTTATTGTTTTAACCACTGTGTTAATTTTCGACTTCTATCTTAAAAATTATGATGATAATACTAATCAGAAATTGCAAGTAATTCACTGAAGTTGATTCTAAAAATTTGAAAAAAAATTGTACCTTACAGTGCCTGTACGGTACGTAACTTTAAAAGTAGCTGTACCGTACGTACTTAAAGCCCTGTACCGTACGTACTTGCTATCTAAGCTTTTAACCAGTTGTTTGGTTCGTTAAATGGTATCATTTAGTGAAATTCCGAACATTCTAGCTCACTCACACTCTAAGTTAGGTGCTGATCTAATTACGGCTTAGGGACAAGCTTGTGACGTAGACAATACTACAGTAAGAATGATGCGTGTGAATTGCAGAGGCGGCTCGTGGGAGCTGGCTGGCAGTTTTGTTGGGGTCCAATCGATGGACTGGGGGGGGGGGGGGGGGGAGGGGGGCTTGGGAGCCGGCTCAAGCTGATCCCTCCAAACTACCGATTACATTACACACAGGGCCTTGTAAATGTTATGTGTAACACTTTATATACAGGCGACAGCAAACGAAAACAAAAACTTATAACATGGGTGAAACAGGACACCACACGTGTACGATCTCAGCCGCGCAGTATCATATAGCAGTCAAATTGCAAAGGGTCCTGGACCCCCAAATCGAGGCAAATCATAATAGATTACCTGTAGTGGGATGCGCACGATGTGCTTTGTAACGTTTACAATTAACTATGTGTTAAAACTGCGCGGCTGAGTAGTCCAGAGGTAGAATTGGACTCCCTACAACACAAAATTTCACGAAGATCATGCGTGCGCTTACATTAAAACGTATGATAGTAAATGAAGACCTTTATATTGCGATTTGTTATTTCCTAACACTATTACTAATTACTATTTCTATTTTAAGCACCAGCCACCAGATAATAATTTTAAGGCGTCCACGGACGCCTGGACGCCCTGGCCTCAATAGCCGCCTCTGGTGAATTGGTATTTGTTATTTGGACAGTGCTTGTTCACGTTTTGTTTTTGTTACACGATGATTTTCGGCAGGGGGGCGCCAACAGGCAACGTTACGCCACTGGTCCGATGTGTACAACTGACACACCCGAATGTACTTACTTCTTGAGTAAGAATTATAATAGTTTATATTGAATATATAAGGCAATTAATTAACAGTTAGTGTAACAGTAAGTATAAGATAATGGGGAAAGATACTATTGTTTATATTTATATAGACAGTTCATGAAAATTTGTGGAAATTCGATATTTTTTGCAGATCTCATCGGATTGTTAACTCTTAAAAGGCCTTAGTTTCTGCGTTTATATTGACATAGGAAATAATATTTAAATTGACATATGGAAATAAATCTATATATCAAAATCCAACAACTTGAATCCTCATAAAAAATTCCGACGCTACAAATGCTTTGTATTTTCCGTCGTCTGACGGGTATAGAGATCTAATCTTCATAATAGCACATGCTGGAAGGACATATCTCCGATTTTTCCCGATGAACCGTAGTTCGCACATGTTCAAAAAGTTTCTGTAGGCTGCATAACGGAGTCCTTCCGGTTTTATGTTCCCTTCTTTGTCGACGGGAATACTTTTCTGCATCATACCGAAAGAGCACATTTGTAGCATCTTTCGGTTACTGATTCCAGCTGAGAAAAGTTCGCAATCTGTAACACATGAAACTTTTTCAATATCCAAAATAATTTCGCTGATATGCGTACTTTCTTGGCAGCAATAACATTCTATCTCCGTGCCCGATACAGCACAATTACCACACTTGCACCAAGCTAACTTATATGGACACGTTCATTGAAGTTTGAGGATATTGGTAAATTTCTAAAATAGCGTTTTCGACGATAGTGGCTTTATTTTAGCATCTATTAATCTAGCGTGTTCATAAGTTCTGAACATTAGCCACGTGACCCATACTCCCATATGCACTGCTCAGAAATAAAATGTATTGCTTTTAGGCACTATAATGTAAAAAATGTCACATTTTTGTGACATTGTTTACCATAGCTGCCCAATAATCATTCCTTGGTCTGAAATATAGTAGATTAGGTCAATCTAACAATTATGATACAACATTAGTTATAGGGCACGGATCGAACGGCGTTAAGGCAATATTTCGTAAACTTTGTCACACTCAGAATACGAGACCTCTTTTCTACTGTGAGGTGTCCTCAAAACCCCTTCAACTCATTATTTGATGGTTCTTCTGCCAATCATAGCCCTAAAATATGTTGTTTTGAAAAGTTAGCTAATACATGCACTTGGTTATTGGGAAATGATGTAAATTCTGTCACATTATATGGAATTTGAAATTCTGGGTGAATTTCCGAAATCATTTATATCTGATTTTGGTGTGGAAGGCGGGAAAACTCTATATAAGGACGATACACGGATACAGTTGATTCAAGTATAGGGCAGTTGATGTAAACATCGTCACAAAATGATACGACATCGTAAATAGGTTACATTTTGCGGGGAAAATCTATATAAGGACGATACACGGATACAGTTTATTCAAGTATAGGGCAGTTGTTGTAAACATCGTCACAAAATGATACGACATCGTAAATAGGTTACATTTTGCGGGAAAACTCTATATAAGGACGATACACGGATACAGTTGATTCAAGTATAGGGCAGTTGATGTAAACATCGTCACAAAATGATACGACATCGTAAATAAGTTAAATTTTGCGGGAAAACTCTATATAAGGACGATACACGGATACAGTTGATTCAAGTATAGGGCAGTTGATGTAAACATCGTCACAAAATGATAAGACATCATAAATAGGTTAAATTTGGAAGCAATGATTATAGAATGAAATAGTCTGTGATTAACATATTACATACATTATAAAATGGGCAGGGGTTTTTATATTTCCTGTATCTCTGTATTAATCATTTCGGACTGTAATTAGGACTGTTCACGTGAAAGAAATTGTATCTAAATTTTACAATGACGTACTCGTATGTGACGAAATTTACATTTCTTGACCCTATTTTGAAGAACCATACCTCGGTTAGAATTCAATGTTCTTCCAGGAATTATTGGTTGGTTATTGTTTAGCAAAATAGAACTCAAGTTTAACAATGCTGAGTTTAATTTTACTAAGTTA